TACGGAAATTATTTCAAGGAATCAACTAATTTCAAATTAACAAGAGCTGATTTGAGCGTTATTTCTATGCTACGAGATGAGACTATCGTGAAGAAGGCTCACAATTTCTCATTTGTCTGTCAAGTCACTGCCCACACAGTGTAATAAGAATGGGGTTCTTCACGGGGATGGAGTATATAACCTGGCCTCCCATAAGTACATTACAAGTCTAATCATAACTTCATTAGCAATCTGATTTACTAAGTTTACACAAAAAAACAGTTTTACCAGTCCCTCAAAGCACTACTTGGGTGCATTTTTATACCATCGTGACTTTATGCGAAGCTCACAAGGGAAATGTGACAAGTCACGTAATTTTCATGCTTTTACTCCAGTAATCAGGAGAAATACCAGAAGCTACACAACTGCTTCTAAAAGACAAACAAGGAAGTTCAGAATCTAATCTGAAGTTTGGAGTAAGGCATCTTATTTATCAGCTTAAGTTTCATAAAGATTTGGGGCAGAAGTGACAGACTCCTCACCCCTGGATGGCAAAACTCCGTAAAATTACAGGGGACGAGTGGAAGACAAACATGAGACAGAAAAGAAGAAATGAAAAGGCAAGGAAGAAACAGATTGTCCACAACAGATATTGTTGACATATTTTTAAGAACAGATGGCAACTGACAGTAACATGATAGAAGGCATTCGGTTTGCAGAGTTTTGGCAATCCTCAAAACAGCGGAATGGCTTTTACAGTAACCTCACTCCAACGCACATTCTTCCAAGGAAACAAAAGGTGGGAAGATATTTTCATACACTGCACTGACAGGTTTGAGAGCTGACAAGACAGAAGGCTGAGAAGTTCTAAGGATTAACATGAGGCAGGAAAGCTTTCTGGAAGTACACAGTGACAACCCTAAATCTGCAGGTCCTGGGGGCCGCGCAGCACCAGTGACTGCTCAGTTCAGTTATGTTCATTATAAAAAATATACTGTTCATAATAAAAAAAACACACACATATATATCTCAAGACATAACAGAGGAGAAAAACCCCTAGCCCTCCAGTGTGTTCAAGAGCCTAAGCACACTATGAGCAATTAGCTCCAAATTCAATCCAATGCTTGTAGACAGACAGAATTTAAGCAAGAAATTCTGATGTTTCAGCTCTACCACTTCTGTTTGACTTCAAATAGAAACAATGCAAGCAAACCAGTGTTTATTTACTGACAGAAAGACTGATTCTCACTTATTAACTTCAACAAACATAAAAATTACATACAGTTAGTGAATTCAACTGCTTCTGGTCAAGAGAAGAAAAAAAACACAAACAGAAAACAGTAGCTCTCTTTTCTCTAAATAAAAAGAGGGTACAACATGACAGAGAATTGCTTTTCAGCTCTCAGGCATTTCCTAAAGGAATTACTGAGATTATTCTAACGAAAATTAAAATATTTCACTGCACTTCCACAAAAAAGCTACTTTTGTCATGTGCCAGATCAATGTCTCAGTGCGTTTTGATTGTCAATGATTAAAGTACTTTCCATTGTCTTTTGCTGAAAAGATAGGTAATAGGCAGAGTATTTCAAATTACTTTATCGGAGTGCATAAGAATAAGGTAAGCCAGAAACACTAGTGCCTAATGCAAATACAGTTTTATTCATTTTAAAATAAGAGATGTATTTAATTTGAAAGCATATGCCTGTGTATCCACCCTACCTCATACACCTGAATGACTCAGCACTTACCCACAAAAACAGCTGTCATTATTTTAAACCACAACATAATGGCCACATCCATTACCAATAAAATGTTTCCAAATAAAGCATCTTAGAAAAATCACCTGCGCTACAAGCTTCACAGACCTCAAGACAACAGGAAACGTGTTCGTTTGTGTTTTCTGCAGACACCCATTATTTTAATCACACAAAATCCAGAAATTCTGCTAACTCAAGAATTACGGAAATTTAATTTTCATTTACTGGAAGATTCACATGGCTGTCCTGGACAGTAATTAGTCTTACTAATGCAGAGAAACTGGTCAGACATCAACTGCAAGAAAGGAAGGCAATCTTGACTCAGAGTCTTTCCATAACTGAAACAGCCTGAAGAGAAGATCATTTACTTACATACATAGTAAGGAGGGAGCTAGAAATGTCTTGGGACATAGGAGGCCCTATACTGAAGAGCTGATGGTCTGATGACAAGCAATGACTACTCAGCAGGCAACATTTGATGTTTTCACCTAATGTGTAACATGCAGAGTAACAAAAGCCCACACACATTTTCACAATGCCTCTGCCACCACTGAAAATATTTTTTTTAGGTGAAAACCTGTGAAGTAGGCCTTTGGGAGTGCATGTGGTGACAAACACCAACACCACACGAGGTGTCTTGCAGTGTGGAATAGCAGAAGTCACAGAAGGGATGACCAGGGAGGGTGTGCATGCCCCAGTGGGACTGGGGCCTCCGGTGGCAGCATCCCAGTCACCCAGCTCTGGACACCCCAGTGCCCACCACTCTGCTGACGTCAGCCGAGGGCTCAGGAAAGGTGAGGGCTGAGCACACAGGCAAAAAAAAAAAAAAATACAGGGAATTTCTGCAGTGAATGCCACGCCAAAAAGAAGACAAACTCCCATAATGCTAGAACCATGCAAGAGCAAGTCTGACCGGTCCCCTGAGATGCTCCCACTTGCACTATTTGGTATCTGACAATTTGATTGCTTTTGCTGTTGATGAGCGGTTCTTGTAAGAAACAGCTTGCTCTGGCATGTTAGTTACATGCAGAAATTCTGCAATCCATTTGCCATTAAACTGTTGCACTTCTACGCGAAGTTGCTTGGCTTGTCCAGAACAAGACATTGCATTTGCCTGCTGTTTCAGTTTTCATGATCACCTGCTTTCTCACACAAACCAACCTGCCAGCTTATACTGGGCTGCCTTTGCATATCTGCATATAAAAAAAAAAAGAAAAAATTACCTTACACCAAGTCACACCTTGCCTAAAACAGAACTCTGCCATTAGATGAAAGATTGTTGGCAGGTGTTCTCTGACTTTAGGTCAGAGAAAGCAAAACACCAAATATTGTGCATTAAAAGGGTTCACACATACAGATTTTTTTTTTTTATTGTTTGCTTGTGTAAACCAGAAACATTCCAAGTGACCAACATTTACAAAGTAATTTGTTGTTGTTGGTAAAGATCTAGCACCACATTTTCAACATAAAACCCAAGTGCCTTAATGTCACAAAAATGTATTAAGATCAAAGAAACATAGTACTGTAATTTCTTAAGAGTAAATTTCACAACCTCCAGTTAAAACAGTTTCTTTACAGGACTGTTTAAGGCACATGAGTTTTACTTCAAGCAGCTCAAAGAGATGAATTTATCATCCAAACTCAAAGTCACGTTTGCGTCAGACAAAACTCCCATAATACACTCAAAGATAGTATCATGTTATATCACAGTCCTCTTGCCACCTGCCACAAGGTGTGTCTAACCTACGTAAGGAAACTTTTGCAAGACAAAGATTGCATTAAACAGTTGTCTCAATTATTCTTTCAACAGCTGATGTTCAGAAGGCAGCCTTGTTTTCAGGCAGAAGCATTTAACATGCATATGTGCTAAAGCAAACTTTAAAAACAGCAGCTTCAGTCAGTTTTGGAACTTTAAGGGAAATGATCAAGAACTATCACAGAGTAAAGACGCTGGGGTATTCCCAAATTCAAAGCAAATTAATGCAGAACACTGCTATAGGATGTATCAGAAGAACTGGCCAAACCTGTACAGCTGCAATGATCCACCGTTCTCACAAGCAGAAGAAAAATTTACAGGCTGCACCAGCTCAGCAGAACAAAGGGATGGATTTATTTTAAATACTATGTCCACCTACTCTAACCATTTTTTTACATAACAGTAAGACTGTCATTCCAAAAGGAATAAAGAAATTGTAAAAGAGAAAAGAAGCAAAGAACATAGCTCAAGACAACCTAGATATTTTACAGTCAAGGACTGCCCCAAAACTGTGCCCATTAAATGCAAGGTGGTTTTTCTTATAAGGAAAGCAATAAGAGGAAAAGAGCAAAACCAGAAGGACATCAGAGCAATCACAGTGCTATATATTTGGTGGGAAAGCACGCTTAGCCAGAAGTACTTGATGCAGTTAAAATTAGAAAGACTGCTTTTGACCAACAGAAATTAGTTATTAATTGTTAGAAGCACTGAAGGAGTTGCTGTAGTTTAGGGTTCTTTTTTTATTTGGCATCTCGACACACTGCAAGGCTGTACAGAACTCAAACATAGTTACAGAAGTGGCAAAATCTGTCGGGAAATAGAACAGTGTTGCTGCTACAGCAATGAGAATTTCAAGAACATGCCTGGAGATCGTAGCCTAAAAGGAATTTTCAACAAGAAACACACATGAAAACAAACATGGATGCACAAATAAGATGCAGAGAAGGATAGGGATAACAAACTGTATTAGGACTGCTGTAAACCACTGACATCTAGAGATAGACAAGAAAAATGCAGAATAAACTGTAGCACAAAACTTTCATATGCAATGATTTCTCATTCATACTTCACAATTCATATTTAACACACTTCAATTTTTCCCTTTTGTGCTGTTTGTGATGCACAAGGATGACAAACAGTTTATATAGATTAATGCAGCAATGACAGACACCCACGTCATGTGCTCGGATCGTGTTTGACTAAAAAATGTACATCCTAGATTATAGTGTAGATTTCCATTCTCTAGTCTTTGATTCTATATTACATATTCAACTTTAGCCACTGCTCTCCACATGGTTCAGATCTCTTAAGGCTAGTCAGTGCCATGCAATTGGATCTAGTACTTGGTATTCTGTCTGACAGCCAGTTAGTGAATGAAGTAGTCCACAAATTAGTAAACTAGTGTAAATCAGTCTTAATGGCAATCCCCCTCCATGGGCCATCTATATGCTGCTCTGATATAATCACAGATCCCAGGAAAGACAGAATTAGATTGTGCAGCTTCTTACCTGCAGCTCCTTTGAGACTCTCTCTAAGTGGTTAGTTATCTTTTTTATTAGGTCACTATACATCTGTTCCGAATGCTGCTGGCATACACACTTATACACACAACTGCAGAAACAAATATAGGAACAAACAATGAACTTACAACAGTTTGCAATGAAGGGTAACAGACTTCAAAATATTTTGTTCAAGTCTCAATTTAGAGGATAACAGAATTAACTGAATGATTGCTGAACTTTTAAATACAGCCCTAAGTTTGGAATAAGCTCCAGCAGACTCTTAAGTCTCCCCTGGAGGCCCCAGTTTGTCCAACCCATTCTCCCTCCTTGACCTCACTTTATCCTACAGTGACTTCTCCTAACAGTGCCCTTCAGAACAGCCAAGATAACCCTGTCAACAGCACACTCTTAATTCTGTTTTTTGCCTCCCCTATGTGAATGAAGTCTCCATTAAAATAAGCAGGTTTAATGATTCTATGCATATTCTAGGGCAAAACCCTTATTAACAGAAGGGCAACACTGACAAGCGGTCCTAAAAGTTCCACGAAGACTGTGCTAGCGTTTTAAAAAGAAACAGCAAAAGTTCTAAATTACAGACCTAAGCACGTTACTCCGTACTTTGTTATTTAGATTCTAAGAAAACCCTACATTTTCATAATAAACAAAGATGCAGGAAAAGAGCAACAGAACTTTAATTCTACATTCCACTTCTTGGCTGTGTTAACTCTGGTCTTCAGTCTCTTTGTTCTTTAAGAACATTTTATTGCTATTATACTGCAATATAAAATATAAAATAAGACTATGTATTGAAAACACATTTAAAACAGTTGTAAAACAAATACATATATTGCTTTCAGACATAAGTTACATTAAGGTAGTCATCATCATCAGGACTAACACCAACATTACCTGTACCAAGCAGCTATTACTTCTCTTGAGTGCTTTTACTCTTTCATCATTAAGGTTAAAGAGACCTTTGAGATCATTGAGTCCAGCCGTTAACCCAACACTGCCAAGTCCACCACTGAAACATGTCCCCAAGCGCCACATCTACATATCTTTTAAATACCTCCAGGGATAGTGACTCCACCACTGTCCTGGGCAGCCTGTTCCAAGGCTTGATAATCCTTTCAGTGAATAATTTTTTCCTAACATCCACTCTAAACCTCCCCTGGCACAACCTGTGGCCATTTCCTCCTGTCCTATTGCTTGTCACTAGGGAGAAGAGACCAAAAGCCATCTCACTACACCCTCCTTTCAGGCAGTTGTAGAGAGCAACAAGGTCTCCCCTCAGACTCCTAACTAAACAACCCCAGCTCCCTCAGATGCTCCTCATAGGTCTTTTTCTCCAGACCCTTCACCAGCTTCGTTGCCCTTCTCTGGACCTGCTCCAGCACCTCAATGACCTTCTTGTGGTGAGGGGCCCAAAACTGACCCCAGGATTCAAGGTGCGGCCTCACCAGTGCCAAGTACAGAGGGACAATCCCTGCCCTAGTCCTGCTGGCCACACTATTGCCGACGCAGGCCAGGATGCTGCTGGCCTTCTTGGCCACCTGGGCACACTGCTGGCTCATGTTCAACCAACACCCTCAGGTCCTTTTCCTCCAGGCAGCTTTCCAGCCACTCTTCCTCAAGCCTGTAGCGCTGCAGGGGGTTGTTGTGACTCAAGTGCAGGACCTGGCACTGAGGCTTGTTGAATCATCTTCAGCTGGATTCAGCCCATCAGTCCAACCTGTCCAGATCCCTCTGCAGAGCCTCCTTCCCTCCAGCATATCAACACTCCCACCCAGCTTGGTGTCAGCTGCAAACTTACTGAGGGTGCACATATTAGACAGAACTGGCCCCAGTACTGAGCACTGGGGAACACCACTTGTAACCGACTGCCAACTGGATTTAACTTCATTCACCACAACTCTTTGGGCCCAGCCATCCAGCCAGCAAAGTGTACACCTATCCAAGCCACGAGCAACCGGTTTCTCCAGGAGAAGGCTGTGGGAAACAATGTCAAAGGCTTTACTGAAGTCTAGGTAGACAACATCCACAGCCTTTCCCTCATCCACTAAGCAGGTCACCTTGTCATAGAAGGAGATCACATTAGTCAAGCAGGACCTGCCTGCTCCTGAGCCTTCAAGATTTCCTTCCTTAAGGATGTCCAGCCTTTCTGGACTCCTCTGCCCTTCAGAACTGCCTCCCAAGAGGCTCTGACCAAGGTAGCAATTCTGCTGTCCTTACTTCTCAAAGAATCAAAAACTCCATCATTTTGTGATGGCTATGCCCAAGATGGCTTCCAACCATCCCATCACCCACAACTCCTTCTCTGTTCATAAACAACAGGTCCAGCGGGGTGCCTTCCCCAGCTGGTTCCCTCGCCAGCTGTGTCAGGAAGTTATCTTCCACACACTCCAGGAACCTCCTAGGCTGTTTCCTCTCCCCTGTATTGTATTTCCAGGAGGTAAGTTGAAGTCCCCCATGAGAACAAGGACGACTGATTGTGAGACTGCTCCCAGCTGCTTATATTCTGGTCAGGTGGTCTCTAACAGACTCCCACCATAATATCTGCCTTGTTGGCCCTCCCCCTGATTCCTACCCATAAACACTCAACCCTACCATCACCATCGTTAAGCTCTAGACAATCAAAACACTCCCTAACATGCAGGGCTACCCCACTGCCTCTCCTTCCTTGTCTACCCCTTCTGAAGAACTTACAGCCATCCATTGCAGCACTCCAGTTGTGCAAGCCATCCCACCATGCTCCCATGATGGCAACTATGTCATAGTTTTCCTGCTGCATGATGGCTTCCAGCTCCTCCTGTCTGTTACCCATGCTGTGAGCATTGGTGTAGGTGCACCTCAGTTGGGCTACTGATCCCACCATGTTTTTGTGGGGAGAACCTCTAATTCCTACGTGAGCATTCTCGGGCACTTCTGTGGTTTCTAACACATAAATAACCCTTGTGTTTTTGCTGCCACATGGATCTCCATCCCAGACCAAAGGACCTTGTTAGCAAACCATCCCTCAAACACTGGCGTGCTGCCCCCAGGCTTATCTATAGTAAGCCTGGTTTTATCCCTTCCGCCCTTTTAAGTCAGCATTTCGAAAGCTAGCTGACAAAAATCAAGAGGCACAAGGAAGACTTCACTCAATATCTTGGGCAGGTCAAATCTCTTCCCCATGCCTCTGTTCTACTCCCCTCTCCCTCCATCCCTCTCTACAGGGTACTGTGACAGCAAGCAATTTAGGCCAGAGACTGCTCCTTAGAATATGCCTAAAAAAACTATTTCCAGCAAAGTCCAGATCCCAGATTTGAATTCTGCAGGTTTTTAATAGCACTAACAGCCTAACACTACAGTACAGCAACACTGTGTCTCTGTAGGGGAATTATGATATTCCAATTCTTTACTGAGAAGGTGGCACAATGTCAAATAAACTGCAAACATGGTATTAAAACAACTGTAGACTATGGGATATTGGAATTTTCTAATTCAAGTGAGAGGTTAGGCACCAACTCCAAGCCTTCAGAGGCCAAGACAGCACTCTCATTCAATATCTGCCATTCTCAAAGTCTTCTGGAGGAAGGTTTTACAAGTGAATTATCAGTAACTTTTAGAATTTTGTATTTATTCCTTTTAAGAACTCCAAAAGCTTCAAAAATACAGCATTCATCCCTATGCAAAGTCTGCTCATTTGGCAAACCATGCTATTTCCTACAAATCAAGATGCCCCACGCTTCTCCTACTACTATATTTTTTAAATAACCGAGTAACAGTCACAGTTGTCCTGTTTCTTTCACATGAACTCTACTAACACCAGATCCTATTTCGGAATAAGCAAGTGCAAAATAAATTTTGATATGATGCAGTAACAGCAAAAATAGCAATTTAATTTGGACCAAAGAGAGAAACACTGATCAGAAGAGCCAGACTGCTTTTTGTAATCTCTTACAAACCAGACAGTTAGGTAACAATAGTAAATGGCCGTGTCTGTCTGCTCCATAACTAGCCAGTATCTAGCCACTTCCATGAGCTGAAGGCTTCGTTTGCAATGATGTAGCTAAACTGAATTTTAAAGTACATGTCTGCTTAGTGTCACATACAATATTGCTATACCTACTTCTGCAATGTGTGTTTACATTTTATTTGAACAATTCTATTTAGAGGTTACTTCCCCATTTTCAGATCCTGTTTTCAGTTCCTGATTGTGGGCTGATTCTGAGAATCATCCTTGCCCTGCTATTACCCGAGAGAAGCTTGTTAGCCCTTCAGCATAACCAAACACCTTAGGAAAAGGAAGACTCAAGCAGGATGTTAAAAGGTAAGCATTTAGTGAGAGGGATGAAGATCCAAGATCTGCAAGCTGTCTTGAAGAACAGCAATCTAATTCCATTGTACCCGTGAGGCAGTTGCCAGAAGTACAGCCCAGCTGTTCACATTTTCCTCATCTCAAAGTTTCCTTCACATCTCTCTGTCAATAATTTAATCCTTTTAATAGGAAGTGACTATGCACAGGCAGGCTTTGGACTCAAACATCAAAACAGTCACTAACCACACTTTGATACCTTATGGGTAAGCTGATCCATAGTAAATGTCTGAATAAATACCTTTGAAGTTATCTCCTAGCTTTCACTGTTGTGGAATGGATACCTACAGTTATCACTGATCATGTCAAATACAGTAGTTTGGGTATCTAACAATATATTTTGAGTGTGCATTATGGAAACCTTGATTTCTTTAGCCAGCACAAAGACAACCAAAAAGACTATGTATTTTCAGATCAGTTTCATTGTAAAAAAATACAAGAGACAGGTATCTGTTTGAACCACCTCAAAAAACACCCCAGTTTTCAGACTAAAGCCTAGGGAAGGAGAGAGGATCTAAACCCCAAGCCTGCTACATACTCTCTGTAATACTCCAAGCAAGCATCTTCATTAAATTCAATTTAAAAAAATCAGTTTTCCTTCCCTTCTCAAGCTATCTTGTCTAGACTGTCAGTCAAATTTAAAAAAAAAAAATAAATCAACCTCCTGGTTGGAAGAGGCTGTGTCAGAGTAATTACAATCACAGGCCTAATTTTCAACAGAAAACTGACATGCCAGCTTTATCAGTAACATTAAACTACAGAAAATATTTTGGTAATAGTAAAATACATGCAACAGACATCTGTGCATCATTACAATACTGTATCACGTGTAACCCTGATACAAGGGTATCCTAGGTATACCTAGGAGAAACTTAAAACACATTATTCCTTCAAAAAATAAAACTTTTGAGGAGTAAAAAGATGACAAGGATAAACTCCAGCTATCTTAAAACTATAATTAGACAGAGATCCACTCAAAGCATTAAAGCATTAATTTTGTACATCTACTCTTTATCAGAGGTGACTATCAAGAGATGTTGGCTTAACTCTTACTGTTTGCACAATAAGCTGCCGAAAGAATTTTGATGGCTGAAGATGTCCAAGTCCTGGTAAGAGCAGTTCCAAATGTTTGGAGAGGAAAGAGGAAGTTTATTAAAGTTTTCAACTGGAATTAAGAGGGAAGACTGAACACCAGCTGTTGCTGTATCTGGTTCCCTAATCCAAAATTTCAAACTAGAGAGACAAGTGACCAAAAGCAAGTGGGCAGGATACAATACAGCTGAAAGCCTCTAACAGGAGCAGTGACTGAGCTGCCTACGTTATTTCTTAGGGTGCAACACTATCATAAACAAAACCAAGGCAGCAGTGCTGCTAGCTGTGTTGCTGGCAAGGGCCAGTGATTCTAACAGTGCCCTGGACAGCAAATGCAGTAGCAGCTACCCAGTTTCTGCCCTATTTACCTACACCTTAGATACCTGCCACCTACAGAAAAGAAATCTCCATTTTTGCAAGTCTCCTGAGAAACTGCCAGGTCTCTGAAGTATTTAGCAATTTGGTTTGGAGCAGTAGTGTGGTTTTGAAGCAAATCCCCCACCCTCCTCGCTGCTGTGTACTAGCTTAGTCTGCAGAACAGTTCTGGTGAGTTACTAAATCCTTTTTAAATCAAACTGCAGTGCCAGGCCAAGTACAAATCAAATGTTCTCCTGACAAGAACGGAGGCATAAAGGACTGAATGTTGTGTCATTCCTTCAGATAGACTCTAACTGCACATGCAGCAAGGTGGCTGGGCAAAGGGGAAATCAGACCAACTCTCCCTGATGCAAAACACACAAATGACAGTTTCTATGGATGGACCTTGGCACCAGTTGCTTCTATTTACTTCTGCACCCCTAATGCACCAAACTGGTTCCTATTAGACATGCCATAACAAAGAATCTTTCTGAAACATTAAGCTAAAACGCCCACCATGCCAGTCTCTTCTTCCCCTTTGAGGAAAGGGATGTTAAGACACATTTCTTAATATATTACACTAAGCAGCTGTGGTGGAGCTTACCTTAGTGTGAATGTTTTCAGCACTTATGCATTTTATTTCTTTAGCATTTATTCCTGTTGACATGAAATGTCAAGATATGTACCCATTATTCACTCATTCAAACCATTTAAACAATACCATACTTCACATAACCTTCCCACTTTCCTCCTCATAAAAACAAAATATGACCTATGCATAGGCTGCAAGATAAAACAAACACTTAACTTTAAAGGAAAAAAAAAAAAAAAAAGTCACGTAGCACTTAAAAGATTTCCTTACCTGTATATTTGTTCATAGGAGATAGGGATGTAGTCACCAGGACTCTGAGTCAAAAGTTGATCTATGGCACTGTCCAACTTTGGCCAATATGTGCTCTTATAGTCTTCAATTGTTATAACATTCATTACTACAACAAAAAGACAAAAGTACATTTAGTAACTTGAGCTAAAAAATTAGAAGGAAGCAAATGCTCTGCAATTTCAGATCACACTGATAAGCTCGTCAAAAAAAACTGGGAACAGTTCACTTCCACTAAGATAACATCACCTAAAAGTAAAGCCCAGACTTGAATTTGTAGCTTTTTATTTATAGAAAATAAAATAAAATCAGAAAACCTGCCAAATCAGTGCTTAGATACTTCTTAAGGGTCAAAGTACCAGGGAGAAACAAATTCTTGGGAGTTCTAGCATGACAATCTAACAATAATAATTACAAAAAAGAGTAGTTCAGTAGTTATTTCAGATTAGTAAATTACACAACTTTGCGGGAGTCCAGAATGAACAATTACCACTGGGTCCTCAGGAGAACACGCTTTGGCCAAGACTGGTAGTTTTTAGAATATACCCTCCCAGCAGATGTATTAACTTTACAAGTCTCAAGCAGGACCTGCAGCTTCCTTGGGCTAAAAGCTGATGCAACTCTCTTTGCCTTCAATTGCAGTTAGGCTCCCGGGCAACTTTTTTGGATCTGTATTACAGTTCCCCCTCTAGCAGGCACAATAATATTCCTTTTCCAGATAAGAATCAAGACAGGGAAGAATAGGAGGCATTTAAATTAGTGTTCCCCATCACTCCTTGATTTTCCTCCTGAGCTTCCCAGCTGCACCCTCTTGCACAAGCCTTCACAGACACAGACATTTTAATCTCTGTCTTTTCAGGGAGGATTTCTCAACTAACCACACGTGGCTCAGTTCCAATAGCAGCCACAGTAGAAGGGTTAACATCATCCCTTCAGAGACCTGCTTGCACAGGACTACCTTGCTGGGTTGTCACACCAGCAGAGCTTCACAGCACCCGTGCAAAACAAAGCCCTCGGTAACTAACAGCACAGGGAATACTTCATATCACAACTATCCAGTCTAAGAAATCTAAAGTCATTTCATCATTTGAACTCCATATGTGGGTCTGGGCTACATGGAACAAAGATAGTTCCCACCCCAAGCAATCCAGTTTAGACACCGCACTGAAAATAAATATTTTGAACAGGGATGCAGCATTTTAACTACATGTGCAAATGCAGATTCACTGCTGGGCTTGAGGAGCAAGATTTCTGAAGTCTTATTTTTATGAAGGGTTGAAAGCAGCTGGGCAAGTCACTTTTGGCAGCATTATGAAGAACAATTCTAGGGAAATACAGGCAAAACAGTTAACAGCATCATGAGAAAAAGAAAAGTATAAAGAGAATGTGGAATGAAGAGAGGTGTGAGACAAGGTGTTTGAATGCTATCTGTGAGAGCAGGCATCACCCTAAAAAGACACACCACAGGAATCTGCATTTCATCCAGAAACCTTGCTTAGTGAAGAATGTTAGTTCAGTGCTCCTAGCCCCACTGTCACCAACCAGCCATCGGTTCACTCCTGCTCCACACCTGCTACCGAAACAGATGGAGCTAACCTAGTAAGTGTCCGGGCAGTGAACAGGTCACCACTACCACGTGCTGCAGGATGCTGTCCCAGTATGACACTGTTTGCTAACAAGCTGATAAAGGTTACAGGTCTGGGCACACAACTACGAGGACACAAGTTAACATGTCCAGCAAGTCAGCTCCAGGATGTAAAAGCACCCCTGCAGTCAGGAACCACCTGACAGTAAATTCACCCCTTATTTATCTGCCTCACCACGACTTGTTTGGGTTCTCATCCCTTACAGAGCGCAGGTTGTGAGCAGAAGTTCTTCGGAGCAGTTTCCACGTACTTTCTTTACTATTCATGCTTACGCTCATCAGCAAAATTTGAGCATTTGTACTTCACTTTGTTAGCCCAAAAGAGGTGGGTCTCCACAGAAATGCTCTGTTCCACATAAAACATTAAACTGAAGTCAGCATAAATATTAGACCAAGTCTTGGTTTAAGATTTCAATGTATAATCAGACCCACATATTATGGTTTAACATATTAAATGAGCTCTATTCATGTGAAAGAAAATAGTAAAGTAAGAATTGAGAACACTGCAAAATAGTTTAACAGGCTGTTGAGATGTCAATTTAATTTTTTTACAATATCAAGAAAGAAAGTAGCAGCAGACAGGAAGTTTGTCCATTAGAAATGCTGCACAGGTAAAGAACAAAATGCTTTTGTGAACAGCCCCAGGAAACTTGAACAGGAAATACTGATGAGTTCAAAGTAACCTTCTAGAAAAGCTTCATTTTTATTCAAAAGACTCTTGCAAGTATTATTTAATTTGATTTCCACACCTCAGTTCTGAAACTAAGCCAACTATAATATTGTTATAGTTGAGTCCACAGACTACACACTGACTAATCACTATTTTTCCTCTTCTAATCCAGAAAACAAACTACCTTAAGATTTTAATAGCTGTCACATTAGTAATGTCCTTTTTCTTCACAGTGCTTACACACACACAAAAAGTGAAAGATGACTTAAAGCACCACCCTCCAATTACAAACTCTGCAAGAACGACCTGAAGACCAGGAAGGAAAGGAATCACACAAATCCTTCGAAATAAAAGACTGATTGCTCTTTTAGAAACTTCTTCAGCTTTTCACTTTTCCACCTTTTTAGGATGTCATTCTTAAACTTTTATCCCTACATTAGGTATTCAAAATTTAAAAGGATTTGTCCAGCAGCCCCCGTTTCCAAATTGCAAGGAAAAGTTGATACTAAAAGATTACTTTCGCTTTGTTGAGACTTAAGTTTCTGGGAAGCAACACAGACATTTTGCAACAAAGCATGCTAGAATGCATGATTTATCCAACTACAGCAAGTTTGGGGTGGGGCTGGGAGAGAAAACAGTCTGATCGAATGGAAACAAAGCCAGTATTTTCCAGTGAATTATAAAAGACTTCACAAGTAAAGCTTGAGAAGCAACTGCTGCTTTTCCATATACAGAAAAGTTCAAAAGAAAAACTGTTTAAGAGAAACGCAGCAGTGAAACCATTTAAGTGGAAAAGACTATGCATGAGCTTCACACGATAACCTAGATATTTCAGTACCATAGCCCGTAACAGAAACATAGCCAGCTGCAAGCTAACAAATTCTTTGACATCTACTTCAGTCAGAAGAATGGCAACAAACACTAAGATTTTGAAAAAACAAAAACAAGAAGTCCAAGAGTAGGTATACATCCCCCATTAAATTATCAGAAAAACTGAAAAGCACACATAGCTCAAAATAGCAGCTGGCTCAGTAAGGGGCACAGGACATGAGGAATACAATAATAATTTAAAAAGATATATTGGTACTGTTGGTTTTATTATTTAGACAAGACAACTTAACCTGAAAAGCTACTCAAAATGCTTACTACGTTCACCTATAAAACACATCCTTCTCTTAAAACTATAGCTAAAAAAGCAGGGGACAGAGCAGGACAGGTGATTCAATCTACTGTCAAATAAGCAGGCTTTGGTCTGACAATTATTTGTCATTTATTCTGACAATAAAAATCACAAACAGATAGGCATCTTTTAGAAGTTTTCATCTCATAAAGTGACATATATGAAGCTTTACTGCTTAATTAGCAACACACCCTGCAATCCTAAAATATTTTGTCAAAGTGTACAAACTCTTCAAGCAGATAGATGTCTGCCTGAGACTGCTCTACAGACTCGTAGCTATTGCTGTGGCTCTACACTTTCCTTTTTCTCAGCCGTCATGAGCATGTTTACAGAAGAGATTTTGCCATACCCCTGCCTGACACATCCTAGCACACATTAGCAAGTTTATGAGCCTGCCCTGTAGCTGCTTTCAATTCTGCTCTATTTTTATTACATGACTCTCAGTCTGCACTAAGACTGGTTCGTAAAAGTAATGTTAAACTTTTCCCTCATCAGACAATTTGCCTACGCAGCAAAGCATATGCACCACACCAAACTATGTTACGCAACAGGGTACTCAACAGATTTAGTGGCTATGCCAACACTCACAGCCACATGTGCCCACCCTAAATGGGACTGGAGTTAAAACACATCTATAATCCTCCTTCCTTGAAAAGGAGGAAAAAAAGCAAAAAAGAAAACTCTTCATTTTTTTCATAATTCAGATAGACTGCAATTACCAGTACAGAAGAGTTTTGCTCTCACTCTTATTTTGTCCCTTATGGCCATTGAAAAATATTTTTTGTAACAGTACTGCTTCATAAAACCATAACTATGACTGAAGCTGATCAACTGTAAATAAATATTTAGTTATAAGTTTACCATGACATGGAAAAATGTCTTGCTTTTAACCAGAAGAAAAGCTATCAAATGAACTACACATTATTACATCTGACTTTAGTTCTCAGTCTCACCAAAATCTCAAGGAAGCGGAATTGGATTTGGCCCCTTAGCAAGAGTTTAAAGGGTTTCTATCCAACCTTCTTCCTCCATTACTCTGCCAGCTGAATTAGACCAAACAAAGCCCAAGAGACAGCCTCAGTCTGCAGCTATGAACAGGAACAGAACCAACGTACTGCAAGTAATTACATATTGGAACACAGGCACTGGATTTTTTGTTTTGGAGGAAAGAATCAGGAGGGAGGACCCTATCTGAATGTCAGAGGTGCTCCAATTTATCAGAGGATTGTTGTTTCGAAACTGTGTCACCCACATTTTTGAAGACCACTCGTAGGATAACCTGTCTAAAACTAAGCCTCTGCATCAGGAAGCAAGGGAGGCACTTAACATCAGTAAGACAGACATCGTGTTGGGATACCAATGCTGGAGAAGTGAAAATAAGAACTCAAAATCCACACCCTAAGCAAAATCATGCCCAGCTGTTTCTTTTCCCCATCAGACATAAAATGTAGATTAGCTGGAAAATCACCTTCCCATTTGGTGAAGATCCAGCTTGAAAAGCATTTTCATTCTGAAACAGAAGGAAAAACTGAGACTCTAAATTTCTGGATTAGGAATTCAAGATCTTAGATTAGCAAGGCTGAACAACATTTCATTTCATCTGTCTCAAGTGTTTTTGAGCCACCCCAACATACCTTGAGCCTTGACAAGCAAGGCAGGCCAGAGCCCAAAAGCTCATGGAGTCTGTGAGCCTCAACTTCAAAGCTACCAGCCTTGACAATGTGCCTAGAGCCACAAAAACCAGGCTACCGGAGAAGCAGAGATCCAGAAGCCTGAACCTCAAGCTTCTGATCATCTCTGATGAGGAGCCGGACAGGTGACCTAGCACTGGGGAGAAGTGTGGCAACAAAGAAAAAAGGTGCATTTCCCATTAAAATTTCATCATGGCAGTTACAGGGTTACATTTCCAGGAATAGTTTTAGCTAGCCAAATCCAAATTTTTCCAACAGCCATTACAGAAAAGGGCACATTTTGCCCAGAGGCGTGACTCCTGGGAATAAAAGTAGAATTGAAATGAACAGCAGAAAGATCTTCCCTTCCCTTCCCCCAACCTCAGCTCAGCAAAACAAAAAAAGCAGAAACACTTGCCATTTTTGTTAAAAGCTACGTGCAAAAGATGCTTCGGAACTATTTCAGTTTTTGGGTAAGTTCATCTGCAGTTGTTCTCCTCAGGCCTCTGCAGACGTGTCCTTTGCAGGACAGCACACGCCATCCAGGGGCTCTGCACTCACTGCCATCCCCCGTCAGCGATCACACACAGGCTTCACACCCACCTTTGGGTTTTTCAGGCAGAAAGAACAAGTCTTTAGGAAAACATAACCTGAACTAAAAGCTTCTAGAAAAGTGACAGAGCCTCTGTACAGCCGAAAACCCTGTCTACACTAGCTCTCCCAGTTGTACAGCCAGATCCACCATGTCACCGCGCCGTGACAGGAAAGCCGAGCTTAGGGTGCGCGCAGGAAAGGTCATTTTCTCCTTCCAAAACGCCTTAACCCATCTGATTCCGCTC